TACTATTAAAAGGATGTGGTGACTAATATGTTACGGATACTCCCACACCAGAGCCCCCACCCGGCGAGGGGGGTGGGGGGGGGAATTCTGGGAGTTGAAGTCCACACATCTTAAAGTTGCCAAGCTTGAGAAGCACTGATATAACTAGTATTGTGTAATGAACTCAAACCATTGTGTGTTGAACTCGGATTATTGTGCATTTAACTCCAATTTTGCTACCGTAGGCTCCGTTCTGAACTATGGGTCGTCCGTAAACTGGGCATCCTTAACCGGGGACTACCTGTACCCGGGTCATCCTCAGCAGAGGCATATCATTCCCACCTCCGTACTATACTAGACCAAATTCCTAAGTGGTTCGACTGGAATAACGAAATGCAAGGGACAGCTACCTTCAGCCAATAAAGGCCAGTCATTTTCCTGGCCAAACCTGTGTCGTTCGCTTTGGGCAGTCGATTAGGGCGGGAAGGCCCCAGGGCTGAAAAAAAGACATGATTTGGCGACGAATATTCCCTAGGATGATCACCGATGTCTGTGGTCCGAGACTGATAAGGATAGTCGCACGTGCATCGCAGCATCGCCCCATAGATGGTTCCCGGAGGTCAGGGCTCCCCTCCCCTCTGACCATCCACCACGCCAGGTGCTTCCAACAGGCAAATGGGCTTTTCTGACTAAGGGACCGCAATTCTGAAGCTTCCAGAAAAGTAGACAAAATACTGTACTACAGCAATGGCTCTTCGGAGTTGCTGGATCTGAACAAACTCTAGTTATGTTCAGTTTCTGCTGTAAACAGTTTTTTTTTTTTTTAATGCGGGGTGAGTTTATATTTTAACTGTGCTTTTGAGTCAGACATCAGTAAATATCAGCAACTTGGTTATGAACTCGGTGGAAATTTTCAAGCCAACTCTTGTCTCTCTCCTTGAGAAATTTATCAGGGGAAAATTTTTAAAAATCTTTACTGTCAGAAAGCAGGTGATGGAGGTGTTGTAACAGCCTTCCTTAACCGTTACAGATTAATAGTGTAACAGCTTTAACAGATTAACAGCTTCCAGATCTATAGATTCTACAGGTGCTTATTGATAGAGGTATGTATAAATCAGTGTTTCTCATCCTGGGCGACTTTAAGACATGTGGACTTCGACTCCCAGAATTCCCAATAATGGCTGGGGGATTCTGGGAGTTGAAGTCCACACACCTTAAAGACACCAAGTTCGAAAAAAGGAATTCTAGGCGTTGAAGTCCACACACCTTAAAGTCGCCAAGTTCAAAGAAGGGAATTCTGGGAGTTGAAGTCCACCCATCTTAAAGTTGCCAAGTTCGAAAAAGGGAATTCTGGGAGTTGAAGTCCACCCATCTTAAAGTTGCTGAGTTTGAAAAACACTGGTATAGATAGAATAGAAACCAACCCATGACTCTGTTGAATGCTACCCCTGTGCTTACAGCCAGGAGAAAACAAGAATTAAACCTGTCTCAGGAGACACTCTGCAAGACCACTATGTGGACCCAGCCGTGGGGAACTGGGGTTGCCTTTTTAAATTCCTGAGGAGGTTAACTCCTGCCTTTAAATTTCAGAGGGCAGAAAAGTATACCTGTGGCATTGCTTGACCAAGGTGCTTTATTGAAAATGCTGCTTAATATTCTCTGTTTTTCTTGACTGTCTGATCAATTGGTTAGTTTACTGGAGCTTGTAGGCCGCGCCAATCCAGCAGGACCCGGAGTGTCCCTGCAGACCTTGAGAGAGAGAGGAATGGGGGCCTGTGCCGGGCCGCTCTCTGCCCGCCCCCCACGCTTAGTACTGGATGTAGGAAAGGACCACGTCTCCGTGGATCCGGAGGGTGTCGATCTGTGGGAAATTGTGGTAACGATGGGCGTAGTTGAAGAAGGGCTGGCCATTGGCGTAAACCTTGAATCGGTGGTTGCCGCAGCGGATGGAGAGCTGGGGAGAGAGGAAGGGTGTTAGTGGGGCCGAACCAGCACATCTGGAGCATCTCCAGCCCCCCAGGCAGAAGCGTTCTCAGCCCACGCCATCTGCAGCTTGCATCAAGATCAAAAAGCACCCCCACTACATAAAGGGGTGGGGCTTCGATCAGGGGGTCGCAGCGGCCGCCCTGATTTTTTTTTTTTGCTACCCCCCCAAAAGCCCCATGGGCAGTGCGACCCATTTTCCAACAGATAGCTGGAAATGGGATTCTGAATGGCAGTTCCACTCTTCTCCACTAGAGGGGGTATTTATTGTGCCAGCATTCCAGAGGTTCAGATTTCAGCTCCTCAAAGCCGTGCCAGCTGGGAATTATGGGAGATGGAGTCTTACACCTCTGGAAGGCACCACACTAGATCTTCTCTCCAGGCCCCACTGCCTGCCTGCCTTCTCGCTGACCGACCCGCCAGGCTCCTTGCTGGAATCCAGGGGTGTCCGCACAAGCCAGGGAAGTTAGGGGCAAGACATCAATTGCATAGCTGTGGCTGCCATGTTGACCTTTTTGACCTCCTTCCTGCGGACACCCCTGCTGGAATCAAAGCCAACTCACATCAAAGTACTGTCCAGGTTGGAAAGGGTTAAAGGGCAGGTCCCGTTCCTCAGGCCCCCAGCGGCCATTCAGGAAGCTGTTGCGCACCACGGTTCTCTCATCCATGCGCGGATTAATGTGCAGAATGATATCCTGGCCAGCCATAAAATTGATCTGGAACCTTGGAAACATTGAAAAAAGCAGGCATCAAAGACGAGGCTTTTGGATTAAATAAAATCCAATCTCCCCCGCCCCCCACCTTATCCAACAGCAGCCTGCCAGATGCTTCCATGAGTAAAGGGTGAAGGAAAAAACCCCCAGCTCTTGTTCTTTTTCCAAATATTATTATTTGGTAGACTGCTGCTGAATGTGGAAGTTCTGTTTAGCCTTTTAGGCATTTAGGTTATTTATTTATTCATTGCATTTACATCCTGCCACAATCAAAGCCAACTCTCAGTGAGCTACAAACAAATATAGAACAAAAACCCCATATTCAGCAGCAGTCTACCAGTGAATAAACTTTGGAAAAAGGAGCAAGAGCTGGCTTTTTTCCCTTCACCCTTTACTCATGGAAGCATCTTGTTCTGATGAAGAACAGCTGATCCCGCCTTCACGGCGCTCCGTGAATCATGCTTTAAAGCCACCTCCCAAGCCCCCAAACTCTTCAGCACATCGACCCCTTCAAGAAGTTTCAGATTGTTCATCGGCCCCCAAACATTTATGATATGAAAATAATTTAATAAATGCTACTTTAACTAATAATACTACGAATAATAATAATAATAATAATAATAATAATAATAATCGCCGCAACAATAATGGATAGTCCCGCAGACCCTGGGGGGTCGACATTGACTGCTTTGGGGAACCCTGTCCTGTGCTAACAGCCTTCGCTGCTTCTTGGGGCCGTGAGTGCCACAGACCACGTTTCTACTGTGTGGCACTGTGCTTCCGCTCCCCTTAAGCTCCGTGTCCCCTGGGCCGGTCCTGCGGACGGGCAGAGTCGACGGGAGAGTCGCAGAAAGGAGATGAACCGGGAAGGGTCTTCGCCCGGCCCTCGGACTGGGGTTGTGCTGTTCCAAAGCCAAACCAGAGTCCTGGCTTTTAACGCGCGGGCAGGGGGCAAGCGAGCTGAAGTGTGTGATGCCAGGGAGACACCGGCAGGGTGGGGCCGGGGCCCTGCAAGGCAGCGATGCCCAGCGGTTACACCGATTCCACTCCTCTGCCCGAATCCCAAAACGGGTGGGGGAAAGAGAGCCGAGACCTGTTTGCGTTCACCGGCACGAAGCCCCGCACTACGATGGTCCTCTTGGCTCCCAGACCTCCGAGAATGCTGCCCGTGTAGGGCACCGGCTGAAATAGAGACAATCCGGGTTACACTTGGGTTGCCCTTCACGCCCCCCTCCCACCGCGCGGCCTGGGCCCTGCTGGCTGGGGGTCAAGGCGAGTTGCAATCCGGTGGGCTTTGGGGCGCCGAGCGGGGGACCCACAGCATGGCACCCAAAGGCAGCTTGTGGGATCTGGCCTTGGGTGGGCTTCTCCTGCCTTCCTGGGCGGTTGCAAGCTTCTCTTCCTTTAACCAGGCAAACCAACGTTTGGCCTCAGAAGGAAGATGCTGGCTGGCTTTGTTTGCTCAGGGTGTGGTCAAAGAAGTCAAGATGGCAGCCTGGCCGGTGCTATCAAAGCCCGGCCTATTTCTTTATGGGCAATGCCCATAAAAAATAGAGGGGTTGTGATGGCGCCAGTGTTGACATTTTGATCGCATCCTGCAGAAACCCCAGGTTTATTGCATCACAAAAGACCGGGTTTATAGATCAAATCATAAACCTTGGTTCCAACAGCTGGTTTCTTAGCCATACCCTAAACCCAAAGCAAAGAAATCTGTAATCATTTAACAGAATATTTGATTCCAGCCACTTTGGGACCAAGATTTGTCTCTTTCTTTCACACCCATCTGCAGATACAACAGTGTGTATCTCCTCTGCTTTTTCACCATGTATGCACAACATGATTAGCAAGTTTAGGATTAACCTTAATTTGCTTGTTTTTCAGGGTGTTGGTTAGTGTACGGTGCAATATATATGTCTTCCTTTCTGCTCTGCCCCACATTGGCACAACGGCCTCCTCCCACCCCAATTTCTCCAATTGCTTGCTCAACTAGAGATTTTCTGAGTCATGGGGGGGCGGGCAGCTTTTAGCGACTAATGCTAGTCTCCTCATTAACCTTAAATAAGCCAACTTTCCCTTAAAGACTTCACTTGCTATTCCTTTTTTTTTTTTTTTAATGACGTATGATTTTAGAGGCATAGTGAACCAAAACCAAGCATTAAGCCCTTGGCAGATTACTTAGTAAAATTTCAAGTTTCTAGTCCTCATTGTCCACCGTGAGCACGATCTAAGCCAAACCCCAGGAAATACAAGGCTCCTTGAATTGCGCCCGAACATGCACATATCCAGACAGACTCCCCACCTCCTGGTTTCTGTCCCTTCCCTCAATTCCGGGCTAAAATAAGGAGAAAAGAGCTGGGTTAGCAAGCTTCTTGATACTTACGGGGTGGTGGACTGCGGGGGCCATCATCATCTGTTGGGAAAGAAATCCAAAGGGGCTGTTAATGACTCCATGTTTTTCTCCTAAATCCCTGGCTGTTTGTCTTTTCCTGGACCTCCCAATTCCGTGGACAAGGCAATGCTGGTTTTAGGGTTCTGAGAAACGGGGCAAGACTTTTCCATTTCCGCTTGCTTGGCACCAGGCCGCTGTCCAAGGGTTCACGGTGGCTGCACAGAGATGCATGCAATAATCTAACGGGGCCGGGGGGGGACTTCAGAGATGGTGCCCACAGCTCCAAAAGACTGTGACCAAGAGCAAGGACCTGCTCACTGGGGTTTTGCTTCCTCGTGGCAAAGTTACTTATCTGTTTATTTAATCAATGTATGTAGTGCCCCCCCCCCGACCTTGCAATTGCAATTCTGGCAGACATTTATTATTTATTTTATTTATTAATCCAATCTGCACAGCCGCCCATCTCACAGAAAAGCAACTTTGGGTGGCCACGCAAGTTTGATGAATAAAACAGAAAATCCAGTGAACTGGCAGTCACTGCATTAACTGTACCCTCCATCATCCCCAGCCAGCATGGTTATTGTGGTCCAGGGCAGCACTTCTCGACCTTGGCTACTTTAAGACGTGGGGACTTCAACTCCCAGAATATCTAAAAGGTAGCCAAGGTTGAAAAACCCTGGTTTAGGGTAATGCACCTGGGGCTAAATCATAAGAGTTCTCCATCCATGTATCCTCTCTCTCTCTCTCTCTCTCTCTCTCTCTCTCTCATCATCTATCATCATCACCACCCTCCAGCAAGGAAGCCTCAGGGGGTCCCCTTCCACGCCCCCTTTACTTGCTGGTCTTATCCTCTGGAGAGATGGGGAGCTAAAATCGGGCATCATGCCCTGAGGATTGGGGGTGTCCAGAGAAGTGAACCCTCAACGTTTTCCTAATTCTGCAGCTGGAAAAACTGAAATTGAACTCAGAACATGGGGCATGTCTGAAACAGCTGCTCCACCCTGGAGGCGGCTGCAAATTGCTGCAAGATACAGGTCTTTGATTGCTCCGTGGCAGCCAGCATCTTGACTTTTTTGACCTCCAGCCCTGGATGTCTCTGCCCCCCTTTTCTCCTTCTGAGTACTTACAGGAAGATTTTGGGGTGGCCCACATCCAGGGTTCGGCATCGTGCCCTAAAGGACAGGAAGACAACAGTGGCTGGGTTTGTGTGGCACGTTCACCCGGGTCAGTTGAAGCCTTCGTGGGTGCCTTTGTACCCCTTGCTGAACCCAGTTAGTTTTAACCTTGATTGGCTTTTGAGCGTAGCTTAGCCTGTTGCAAATCACTCTATTGCGTGAATGGAGAACCTGGATTAAGTGGGTTACGTTAACCTTGCGGTGCTCAAGAGTGCCAAGACTTGCATCGTGCTACAGAGGCAGAGAAGAAACAGCCACTGCAATCAGTTTGGGTTTGTCACCTCGGTTGTGCAAAATCACAGAAAGAGATTTGCACCAAGCCAAAAATGACACCGTGGCCTTTGACCCAGCCACCTTTGGTAGATGTTTCACAGAAGGTTATCACCCCGTGTCGCCAAGGTTGAGAAACACTGTTTTATGGATATTTGCATGGTGAGAGCAGGACCCCAGCTTGGGGTAAATTTGCTCCTTGTTCAGTTGCTGGTCCTAGGATCATCCTAGCTTATTTTTGCTAGCGTGCGCAGTCACTAAGCCAAGACAAGAGCTACTGAGGACCCACAAGGGCAGCGTTTATTAGCCGTCAAGAAAGGCGTACGAGGAAGAGCGACTGGAGGGGAGAAAGAGAAAGTGGCAGCTTGGGCATTGAAACAGCCCAGAATCAGTTCCCAGAATAGTTATTGTCGGCCTCGCAGGGTAAACCAGAGAGGAATCACAGCCAGATGGGCTAATTCTACTTTGCTGCGATGCTACGTTGACCGAATCTTGCAAGTCTGAAAGTACAATTCTCCCTCCGTCTCCTTTACAGCCCAAGAAACTAGGGGGGTCCCTTCTGGTCCTCTTTCTCCACCCGTTATGCAGCTCTGGGCTATGTCCCCTCTTATCTGACCGTTCCCTCAGCAGCATCTCTTCGCTCCGTCTCCCAAGGTCTTTCCCACAGTCCATCACAGATATCAAGGTGCTGACTTGTCAATATTGAACACTCACCATGTTTCCCATCATTGGTCCTCCCATGACGGTCAGAGACTGCAGCTCCAGGTCTCCCTCAGCACTCACAACCTGCACACATTGTGGGGGGATTCTGTGGCCATAGCTGCAGAAGGGGTTGCTGTTCACCAGGACCTGGCAGAGGGAACAAGGCTCGGTTGGGATCACCCACTTTCTGTACGGGAAAAACCGGTTTATCCTTGCCGGGACCCCACCCCACCCCACCCCTCCGGGGAGGCAAAGCCAAGGCACGATCCATTTTTCAGACGGGGAAAACAGAACACCGCCATCCTTGGTGTGCTCCAGGTCAGCCAAGGTGGGAGAAACCGTTTTGACAATATACTATTGAATTAAAAAAAAAAAAAATCAGAGGTAATTTAGAAATGCGGCTTCCAAAGCTGGGCAGGGTGGCCATCGAGGGGGTCAAAAAGGTCAAAATGTGTACATGTAAAAAGGGAGAGGGCTTTGTGTATTTATAGCCACCATCTTGACTTTTTTGACTCCCCTCCCCCTGCAGACAACCCTCCTCTCCAGAGACCTCAAGGAGTTGTTATCAAATGACAAATTTTGCCAAAAAGAGGGAAACTATGAAATATGTGCTTGAAAAGAAAAGAATATGATTTTAAGATAATGTGCCTTTTTGGAATGTGCCTTTTGGCACATTGTTCAAAAATCAAGAGTGGTCTCCAACTTATATAAAATGGTGCAAATTACACTGATACCCTGTTTTTTCCCCCCCGGACCAAAAGGTCCTCCCTTCAGTTACAGGTGATCCTCATTTAGCAACTGCCTTGTTTACTGACTGTTTGCAGTTACGAACAATGACGAAACAATAACTTTGCAACCAGTCCTCACATTTGTGACTTTCACAGGTCTGTAAAGCAGTGTTTCTCAATCTCAGCAACTTTAAGATGTATGGACGCCAACTCCCAGAATTCCCCAGCCAGCCCTTGGCGTCCAGCCAAGGCCAGCCAGCCTTTGGCATCCATACATCTTAAAGTTGCTGAGATTGAGAAACTTTGCAGTAAAGTAGAGGAAAGCTGAAGGAAGATCCTAAGCACAATTGCAGTTTCACTTAGCAACCGCTTCACCTAATGACCAAGTTGCCAGTCCCAGTTGTGGTTGCTAAATAAGGACGACCTGTACATCATTTCCATCCCATCTGGAAGATATCAAGTTGGGAAAGTCGATATTAAATGCATTCGCGGCGCATTCCAGACAAACGGTGAATTCTGGGGGTGGAACGCAGAGACACGTGCACCCCTCCAAGAAGCCTCTGTCGCACGCACCAACCTGGTATCCTGCATCATTGACAATGAAGATGACCTCGAAATGCTGCCCCTTTTTGAAGGGCATCCCGTGATGCTCTTCCTTTCCCCACTTGCCCCCCTGATATGTGTTGAGCACAACTTTGTCCCTCCCGTCAAAGCGAGGGTTGAAGTGGAAGGCGATGTCGTGGCCCTCATGCTGGCCACAGGCAAAGTTCACCCGGAATCTGGAAGAGAGAGAGGAAAAAAAGAGGAGGAAAATTAAAAGGGAGGTGCAAGAACCTCAGAGTGGAGCTCTGCCCCCCTCCATAATCCGTAGGATGTTGTTTTTTTGTTTGAAGAGTTCCTAGAATCAAGTTCCTAGCCCTCATGGCTTAGTTGGAGTTGGAAGGAGCAGGAAGTGGAACTATCTGAAGAACCAAGAAAGGCTTTTAGGGGCCAGAGCAAAAACTCTACCCAAGGCTTGGAATCACATGAGCAGAGACTGTCCATTTCTTTGCTGGGTTTGCACACAAATGCAACCATGCCAGAATTCTGGGATAATCTTGGTGCAGAATTTGGATTATATAAACTACTCTTAACTTCTTCTTCTTCTTCTTCTTCTTCTTCTTCTTCTTCTTCTTCTTCTTCTTCTTCTTCTTCTTCTTCTTCCTCCTCCTCCTCCTCCTCCTCACCATCATCATCATCATCACCATCATCATCATCATCATCATCATCATCATCATCTTCAATCATTTTGAGTAAGGTACCATCTTGCCCTTCCTGTGAGCCCCCAAAGGTGTGTTACCTGTTGGTGTGTTTGGGCACTGTGCCTTGCACATATACAGACATCCCAGGGCGGAGTCCACCGGGGACAGGCTGATGGTAAGGGAGGGTCTGGAAGACAGAAAATGATGAACCAGACCAAAGATCAGAAATCTAGTTATCATCTCAAGGCACCACTCCACATACCGAAACTGCAACGGTTCTTAAAACACACCCAGAGACAAGTTTCTAGCCCCTTTGATGAAAAACCATGTTTGGTCATTGCGTGGCTAGTAGCATCAATTCAGAAGATACAAAAACGTGGCTGAAAAAAGCCACATAGTGGCCAGGGGTGTCCTCAGGGGGTGGTCAAAAAAGCCAGAATGGTGGCTACCACAGTGCAGTGAAGTTCTGCCTGTTGTCTTAGGTGCCACAAAAAACAGGTGGAGCTTCAACTGCACCACCGTTTCCACCATCCTGACTTTTTTGACCACCCTTGGAGGACACCCCTGGTAATGGCCATGACTTTACTGCCAAAGACAACGTTGACTTTCAGACTAGCCAACGGCAACCTGTGCCTTGCATCAACCTTTCCGTGGGGCTTCCACAGATCAAACGGAGATCTAGCGAGAGGGCCTCTGCTAATGACTAATCCTCTGCTAATGATTAATCCACCGAACGTGGCAGGGGAGTGAAGGCGTGGAGGAAGCATCAGAACTGCAGCCATGGACCGGTTCTGCTTTTATCTCTACGGGCTGATCGGGAGATTGAGCAAGCCTGGCCGGACGCCAGCACCTTATCAGATCTCTCCATGCACAGGAGGAACTACTGTACTGAGGACAGCAGAAATGTTGCAAGTGCCAACTGGGTCAGGCTGGTGAGGCCAGGATGGCATCTGCCTTTTCCTCTGCATTTCTGGAGCTTTTATAGGAGAACCCTGTTTCATCTGCAGGTGGGTGGGGTGGCTGCTGCAACCCTAACAGCACACACTGGGTGGGAGGAATTGCGTTAAAAAAAGGGGGAACCTCAAAAGAGTGTGGGAAGTTTGGCCCATTTAGTGAGAAATATTTTCATTTCTTCCAATAGAAGAGAATCGCTGTAGCTCAGGACTGAACTGTGGAGTTCTTGGTGGCCTCTGAGTTTGGTGGTTGGCTTGCAAGATTCAGACTAGCAAGATTCTGCCACCGTAAAAGTAGCATTAGCATCGTGACTTTGGTTTCCTAATCTGGCCTATTTCAAAGGGCTGACATCAATCTTGCAGGTCTGAATGCGCCTCCCTCCTCCCTTCCTTTATCTACAAGAGAACTAGGAAGAGTCTTGTCTGAGACGCTTTCTCAAATTACATTTCTGCCCCAGACTCAGATTTCTCTTATCACATTGTCTTGGTTGCAGCCCTTCCTCCTGTGCCTCAAGGTAATTCCTACAGCTCATTACAGAAGGTGTTTTCCCCCCAGACCATCCTATGCAAGAGCTTCCTCCATCCAGCAAATATATTGATTGATTGATTGATTGATTGATTGAGCCTTCAAGTCAGCATTGACTCCTGGTGACTGTCTGGACTAGTCCCTGCAGTTTTCTTGGCAAGATTTCAGAAGTTTTTGCCATTGCCTCCTTCCCAGGGCTGAGAGAGAGGGACTGGCCCAAGGTCACCCAGCTGGCTTCATGCCTAAAGCAGCACTAGAACTCAGGTCTCCCGGTTTCTAGCCTGGTGCCTTCACCACTACATCAAACTGGCTCTCTTCCATCCAGCAAAGCACAGCACTTAATTGCACTTCAATTAAGGAGCAAATAATTTAATTTTAAAGGGGGAAGATACTCTGAATGGCTTATCCTTGAAATTGTTGAATGTTTTTTCTCAAACCCTCTCTAGACTGGGAAGAAAAAAAAAGTGTGAGGTTACAATCCCCTAAGGCAACCTTTCAGAGGCGGGTATCCGTGCCACCGGACAAGTTTGGTAGAAGTCACCCCACCTTTATTGCTTGGGAGCAGCTTTGAACTTCTCCAGCTGGAAGAAAATCTTCTCCATAAAGGAGGCAGAAAGAAGAGTGGGGACAACAGGATCATTAGAGAAATATTCCCTAATCTGGAGTGGATTGATTTGGGGTTATGCTCAACCTCCTTGACTGAAAAAGGACCGCCAAACTTTACTGTAAGTTGAAGTTCATTTGTTGTTCTTTTAACCTCCTCCTCTCCAAATATTTTAAAGGGGGATTTGATTATTTTTATGGCTGTGTAGAAAGGCTCGAGGCAGTTCAGACTGGCCAGGTGTTCTGGGCACGTGAGGCCAAACCCCGCAGGAGGGGAAGTTCAGGGCTGCCGAGTTCCTGAACGACTGAGCGGATGGCCATTTTTCTCCCAGATGAGACGGATTCTTAAGGTAGAATATAGTAAGGTTTTTTTTAAATACAATTTTTATTAAAGATTTTTACATCGATAAAAGATAGAAGTGAAAAAAATAAAGTTAGGGAAAGGAAAAAGAGAGAAAAGTGCAGAGAACAGTAGAAATAGAAAGACAAGAAAGAAAAAGATAATTAAAGATCTGTACGGCCATTACAAACTTATTATCCCAAGAGAAGAGAATACCCATAACTCAGGTTTGAACAGGGGAGTCCTTGGTGCTCCCTGACTTAAAGCAAACCACCAAGCTCAGAGCATACCTAGAACTTCACAAACTTATTATCCCTCCCTTCTGCTCCACTCTCAACCCTTTTTTCCATCAGCGAATCCAGAAATCCCCATTTCACTTTTTTTCCATTTTCAGCAGAAAGCCCATAAAAGGCTTCTGGTCTTTCATAAAAGTGCTTGTTGTTTTATCCCTGACCAAACAGGTCAGTGGTGCCATTTCTGCTCATTCTCCCCTCTTTACACTCTGTTCCTCCACTGTGGGCATGTCAGTATTTCTCCAGCGTCGTGCGTATAATAACCTTGCTGGAAGAATAGGGTAAGGCGTAAGGACCAGCCAAGACAGGTGGGAGACACACTTACCGGGTTATAAACTGGCATGTAGCCAGGTGCCGGGGTGTAAGCCATGTTGATGCTGCAGTCCTTTAGAGCTACCGGTCCAGACCAAACACCAATGCGAGAACTTAAGCACAAAATGTATTGCTTTTATAGGGCAAGGAAAAAAGGGTGGAGCACAGGGGAGGTGGCACCAGCCCACCTGTCCTCACAGGTAGAGGCCACACCATTCACCAATGGCATTGCCACCTCAGCACCTCCTGGACAAGGTAGGGAAGTCCTGTGGGCCTTTCCTGTCCCATGGAAAGCCCCCCACCCAGCCCAACCTTCCTTAACCTGGTGCTTCCAACATGTTGGACTGCAAGTTCCAGAACTCTCACCCAGCCCCGGACCACTCAGGACAGGAAAATGGGAGCTCACCCCTGGGGGAAGCTATAGTAACAGATCCAAAGTAAACTTACGCTACGCATAAACTAAGCAGAGTATTTGACCAGAAAATTTAATCTAATCTGGACTTGCAAGATCTTACGACTTCCCCACCTCATCCAGCAGATCTTATGACCGAAAGGGTCCGTTGAATGAGGTCAAATTTAACTCCGTACCAGCTCAGGAGGTTATCAGTTGTGTGGATGTAGTAGTGAAAAGGGGGGGAAATCTTTGCCTAGGCACAGAGGTTGCTGTTCTTTCAGTGCTCTTCCCCTACAACTGTGTTCCACCATGGAAACAGATTGTAGAGGACACAGGGAATGGCCTTGAAGGAAGGAGGAAGATGTCAGCCTTGCGAGGTAGTCCAGACAAGAAGCACACCCAAAAGTACTAGCTTTAACTTTACTGCAAGGTTACATGATAGTACAACTCTCCTCCCTTGCTTTTACAGTCCAAGAAACTAGGGAGGGTCCCTTCTGAGATGTCTGCCATGCCCCCATTTTGCTTCTGAGCTTCTGCAAGCTCAGCTGCCTCTTATTTGACCGTTGCCTAGTCTGTGACTCTTCCTCCTGTCTCCCAAGGTCATTCCCACATACCATTACAGGAGAGCCACTACCAAGACGCTGGTCAGATAAGAGGGGCTTGAGCCCAAGCCAAGAAAGTAATGTGAGAAAACGTTTCAGACAAGCCTCACCTAGTTCACACAAAGATAAAATGAGGGAGGGGGAAGCACAGATTTGCATGATTCTGTGACAATAAAAGTAGTCCTGACTTATAGGGCACTGGTTTCTTAGTCTGATCTACCTTGCAGGGCTGACGGGTTGAGTTCATTCTTGGATTTCATCCACATTTTCCCACCAACGCAGGGGCAGGCAAGGGCGTTCTGTCTAGGCTGAAAGACAATGTCCTCACCGCTTGTATTTCTGCCTGAGCTTTACCAAGGAACAGTCACTCGGTGGACCCTGAAACGGAGATGTGTCTAGCCAGGCAAGAAAGCAAACGCTGCTCAGTTGGTCCTATCGGCAGGAAATCAGCACCATAAAAATTCTAACTGGGGCACTGATTAGGGTAATGGGTGGGTGTGCTGTCTGCAGAGGCTGAGGCAGGGAGTGGCACTGGAGGGGGTGGTCAGCAATTAACTCTGCAGGTTTAGTGGGGGGGGTATGCCTGGCTGAACAAGCTGACAGAGCTCTGGGGAAACCAACGCGGGATGCAGAGGGCCAGGCAGCTCGGTTAATTGGGACAGAGGGCACAATGGTGTTGGGGAGGGGTGAAGGCATGAGCGGATGACTCGGAATTTGCAACTACACCCTGCCAGTTGGACTCTGACCCATGAGAGAGTACAAATGACATGATGGAGCAAGACAGAAGGGCACTCGGGGATAGCAGCAGCAGCAGCAGCAGCAGCAGCAGCAGCAGCAGCAGCAGCAGCCGCCAGGGCAC